CCTGCCTTTCTCTTCTCTACCCTCCGGGATGCGGGATGCGGCTGGAATGTTTTAAGCTGCCAGAACCCACACTGTTACCTACTGTTAGAACTTAGCAGTAAGATTTAGGTGCAGGCCTTTTGCATATTTTTGCATATATGGCACAGAACTAGAGAAGGATTTCAGTTTATTAAAAATGAAAAAGGAGAGAGAGAGGAAGGAATTAGAGGCCCCACAGCTTCCGTGCCTCTGCCCTTACTCCCAGCTCCGCTTCTGAGATTCAGGAGCGGCCCGGCCTGACCCAGATCTCAGGCTCTGCGCCCACTGCTCTGGGAAGAAGCATCAGTTTAGCCTGAACTCACCTCTCCTGCCAGCACCTAATCTAGTGTGTCCCTTGGAAGCACTGTCGCAGCTTCCTCCTCGCCGGGACTGGAGAGGGCCCGGCTTGGGGATTTCCTTCGCTCCTCACGGGGCTGGAAGGCTGAGCCAGGAGACATCTGGGGCATATCAGCTGGCCAGTGGCATGGCCAAACTTTTGACAGAAGTTTCTTAGAGTTAAGTGAGTAGCGTGAAGTGGGCGGCCTCTCCGACCATCCCCTTGGCAGAACATCTTCCATCTCCTGCCTGGCACTACAGGTCAGCAGGTATTTATCCAGCATCTGCCGATGCCTCATCCTGGGGCTTCATGGGCAGGAGACCTCGTGGGAGGCGAGGATGGGCTCCCAGCCGAGGGACCTGGCCGTGCACACTCTGGGTCTCCAGCCGTGCCTACATAGTGAAGGAGCAGGCAGCACCTAGGGGACAGAAGGGACCTCCCACCACGAGGGGTTTTCCAGAGCTGGTCTGTGGACGAGGTGCTGGGACAGGGAGTGCCTGGGAGGACCATTAAGAGAAGGAGAGGAAACAGCCACCGTCCCAGAGACTGTCCCTGGTGTGCTGGACGCAGCAGGTGACAGCCTGCAGGGACCCCATCCGGGTGACCCCACTCTCACTGAAAGGTGCCCTTTTCTGGCATCAGGTAACCTCCGACAAGGAAGGGCTTTCCCGGCAATGCCCTGGCTCCCTCATTTTTGCTCCCCAAGCCCTAGCGGGCATGAACCCCTCACCTCCTCCCCCGCGGCCTTCCCCTCAGAGTTGCTTTGTCAGATGTTTTGCACACCCAGTTGCCACTGACCCTTTCGCTCCACTCCAGGATGAGGGACCAGCTGATGTGCCTTCCCCAGCCCCCGGCCCCCGCCTGTTGCCATGGTAATGGCAGGCACTCCTGTTCCTGCAGAATATTGCTTTCTTGTAACCTTCCTCCCTCCCTCTTCCCCCTCCCCCACCCCACTTCTTTCTCTCACACAAAAAGAAAGCACAAGTGTTTTATATTCATTTTGCAAAAAGCTGTGTAGCGCATACTAATTGGCGTGGCTTCCTCTTGCTTGAGCCTTTCCCGTTCTCCGAGCCAGGATTACAGGCCAGGCAGGCATGGGCCCAGCCGCTGCTCGGGAAGGAGGGCCAGCTTGGTTTCTGGAGGCCCAGCAGCCATCTATAGCCCAGGGCCTTTCTTCCAGGCTGTAAGCAGGTGCCTCGTAAGCATGGCTGCTGAGGCTCACCCTGTCCCTTGTCCTAGAGCTTCCTGTGGGGTCCACAGGGGGTGGAGCACCAAATCCCTGGCTGGACACACGGACTCAAAGCCACATCCAGCTGGAGGGTTGTCCCTCTGTTGCCCAGTCCCAGGGCCCCTGTTGGCATTGCCTCCCAAGGCCTTCCCTCCCTAGGGGCCTCGCAGAAGTGTGGGTCTGAAGCATCAAGTTCAGCCCCTGGGCTGAGTGGGGTTTGCCAGTCAGCTGGGGGAGGGCCAGTGATCCTGGCTGTCAGAGAGACACCCTGCAGCCTCAGAGTGGCACCCAGCTCCCCTCCTCAAGGCATTCCTTGCCCTCCGTTTGACAGCTCCTTCCCCTCTTTGCCTGTAGGAGGCTGGGGGACTGAAAGGGCTGTGTGTGTGTGTGTGTGTGTGTGTGTGTGTGTCACACCACTACATGTGGCGTGGCCCCAAGCTGGGCAGTCTGGGGACCAGAGATAAATTTTTTGATATGTAAGCACAAGGGAGTGGCTGGGATTGCTGCAGGAACCTGTAGATAACATTTCCGGCTTTAATTGTGCAATTGAAGTGTAATTTGCATTCATTTGCCATTTGGTGTTAAACTTCCTAAAATAAGAGAACTCACAGTGTAAAATATGCAGCGTTGCTGGCCGCACTCCCCAGTGGGGCAGAAGGAGGTGGTACAGAGATACACGATGCAGATCCTCTGGTGGGGAAGGGAGGTCTGCAGCCCTCGTGTGTGCCCCGCTGTCCCAGCCCCGTCCCGACGCCAGGACTCTCTCACTTGCTGCATTTGACGGCCGAGTTTGCTGCCTGGAGGCTGAGTGCCCTGTGCACCTGCACCGCTGGCCTGAGAGGCGGGGCCTGTGGCTCCGAGGAGTGAGTGGCATGAGGGGTGCAGTGGGTCTGGCAGGTGCCAGGAAATATAAGGACACAGAGGTTGCCCCTCGACCCTCTCGGCCCTCCTGTGAGTCTGAACCAGGTGTGAGATCATGGGGGTCAGTGAGGGTTCCCCCCTCAATACATGGGCACAGCAAGAGCAGATTGCTCAACAAGTACCACTGGATTGGGAACAAGGGTGTCTATTTGGGATTTTGACTTGGGGTGTTTTTTGAGATAGAATCCACATACCATAAAATCACCCTTTTAAAGCATGCAGCCCAGCATTGTACACTGCATGAGTATACTTTGCCAACGAGGTTGTGCAACCATCACCACTATCTAATTCTAGAACATGTTCACCACCCCAAAAAGGAACCCTGTACCCATTAGCAGTCATTCCCTGTGTCTCTCTCCTCCAGCCTCTGGCAACGTCTAATCTCCTTTCTGTCTCTGGATTCGCCTGTTCTGGACGTTTCACATAAATGGAGTCATCTACAGGATGTGACTCGCACATCTGGCTTCTCTCACTCAGCAGAAGTTTTTGAGGTTCATCCGTGTTGGGGGTGTATCAGAACTTCATTCCTTAATATCGCCAGATAGCATTCCCTGCGTGGATATCGGGGTATCAGTCGAGGGACGTTTGGGTGGTTTCCGCTTTCCGGCTGTGATGGGTGCTGACCTGTGAGCGTTCCTGTGGAAGCTTGTGTGTGGACATGTTTTCAGCCCCGTTGGGAGTAACCCTGTGTTTCACTCTTTGAGGCACAGTTGGCCTGCTCCTTGCCTCACTGATTTTGGACAAGTCACTCCCCCACCCGGACTCCCTGGTCTCCTTGCGCCTCCCTGACGTTGACACAGCGACTTGCTTGGACAGTCGAGCGTCTGAGGGCACATCCTGCGAGGTGGGGCTCGGGCTGCTCTGTCTCTCGGCGCCGCACTCACTGCTCTGCTGTCGTTCCCACATCTCACCCTGTGCGTCCTTCCTGCCACTGTTGGAGCAGAAAGCCCTCTGGGAGCCTCCCTCGATGGCAGCAGGGGCCTGGGCCTTGCTGCTTCTGGACCTAATCCTACCCTGGCTCTTGGCCTGGGCACCAGGCAGCCCTTGCTCCTGCCATCCGTCTGGACTGCTCAGCAGCCACACTTCTCAGCCAGCGCAGATGCGTTCTCTGCAGGCCCAACAGTCAGACGTCCAAATGTGCAGGAGGGCAGGGGCACAGGCTGCCTGCAGGCCCTGGGCTGGGGCGGGTCTGACTCACCTGCAGCCCCAACACCCAGCGGAGGGACAGCTGGGATGCCAGGTCCCACCTGGTGAGGCTGGCGTGCGGCAGGGCGGGGAGTGAAGTTACTGTCTCTCAGGGAGGTTTTGTGCCGAACACACCAGGCTGCTGGGAGAACACTGGGGGCCAGAATGGGCCAACAGGTACGGGGCTCAGCTGCACGGCCAGGCTGCAGAGAGGACCCCGGGAAAAGTGACAGCGGGGGCAGGGGAGGATGGGGTGCTGGCATATTAGTTGCTGTGAGACAGGAACTGCTTTCAAACTTGGAGAGGTTAGTGGCTTTTTTTTTTTTTTTTTTGAGATAAAATTCTCCCTTTTGAAATACAGGATTCAGTGGTTTCACTTACCTAGTATTTTTTTATTTAGTATTTGATAAGGTTGTACAACTAGCACCACAGTCTAACGTGAACGTTTTCATCATCCCACAGAGAGCCTACAGCAGCTTGACCTTGACTGTAGTCACCACATTCCCCCCGCTGGCCTGGCCGCCCGTGGTACCCGGGCCCGCCCAGAGCTCTGTGTCGTTTCCACTGGTCCAGAGATCTCTGGATTGTAGGGCAGCCCTGGGGGACCATGTGACACAGCCCTGACTTGAGCGCACAGTAGGGACTGTTCTCTACACTCACCTCTGTGCCTTCCTTGGAAGAGCTTGGCAGGCAGGGTCAGGTTCAGGGGCCTTGCTCCACTAGCTTCTGTGTGTGAGCGCTGCAGAGGCAGCGAGAACTGAACACGTTAGGAAGTCTTCCGTCCTGGAGCCCAGAGTCACACCCCAAATGTGCAGGGTCCTCTGGGATCTGCCAGGGCCTGGTGTCGCCTCTGCAGAAGGATTTGTCCTATGACCTGATGCTGGGCTGGACCATGGCTGCCAACCCCCAGGAGTGTGGCCATGAGGGCACTGCTGGGTCATCATCGGGCACAGACAGCCCAGGAGCCCTGAGATGTGTATTGCACAGGCTGCCCTGGTGCCTGAGTCCCGCATCCCCTGGCGTCCCCTCTTGTCCCCACGCCAGGGACCAGAGAGGAGTGATCATGGGAAAGCTGACTTCCTGGCCTCAGATTCCAGCTTCCTTCCTCCAGTCGCTCCTGTCCACTGCCTGTGTTCCCTTCGGTTCAGGCCTTTGTAGAACATTTTGGGCACCATTACAGCCATAGTCTTGGCCACTCTCACCAGCCTGTTGCCCTCTACAGACCCCTCTCCGCCTCTTGGAGGAGGCCCTGTCTCCAGCCACAGCTGCCTGTGGAGGTCCTTGTCCCTCATCCTCTGCTTTTCTCCCCAGGTTATCCTAAAGGATCTGGAGGTGTTGGCAGAAATCGCTTCCTCCCCTGCAGGCCAGACAGAGGACCCAGGCCCCCTCGACGGCCCTGACCTCCAGGCCAGCTACTCCAAACTTCAGGTGTCCACCCCTGGCAGGGCCGGCCTGCTGACCACTCCCAGTAAGTCTTCCCCTGATGCTTCCAGCCTTGGGGACACTAGGAACACTGGTGCTCGGTCTCCTCCTGGACTGGGGCCATCCTCGGGGCTGTCCCTCTCGAGCCTTGGAGTTCTGCCAGGGTGTGAGGGTCAGTGACAGCCATTGTCCAGGAGGCAGGTGGACCTGGCCATGCTGCCGCCTCCTGGCTCACACTCCAGCCCCTATAAGAGACGCTTAGTCCCTTTTCCTCATCTTCCTGCACCTTTCACCCGTTGAGCCATTGGCTTAATGTAAAACCATCTAAGTCAGCCGATCGCCTCTCCCTGGGGCGGCGTCTCCCTGGTCAGGAATCAAGGGGCTTTGGAGTCGGGGCTCACAGGTGGGAGACTAGGCAGCCATTTCCTTCCTCACTGAGAGGCTAAAAATAGCTCTCAACATGGCAGGCAGCCCAGGCAAGAGACAGTATAATTCAAACAGCATGTTTCCGGGAGTGCTTGGCCATGGAGGTGGCGTGGGGTTCCTGGTGCTCCCCCTCGGAGCTCCTTCCAGACATCAGGTGGCCCTTCTCCCAGGCCAGGCTACTCCCAGCACCTCCCTCCCAGGCAGACACAGTTCCCTCCGACGACACCGTCCTGGAACCTGCCCAGGGGTGCGAGTCAGTGGGAAAGCACCCAGCGGGCCTTGGGTGTTTGCCTGGGTGTCTCTGTCCCCTGAGTGGCTCTTGCCACCAGGCACCAGGTCCTAGATCAGTGATGGTGAACCTTTTGAGCTCGGCGTGTCAGCATTTTGAAAAACCCTAACTTAACTCTGGTGCCGTGTCACATATAGAAATTTTTTGATCTTTGCAACCATAGTAAAACAAAGATTTATATTTTTGATATTTATTTTATATATTTAAATGCCATTAAACAAAGAAAAATCAACCAAAAAAATGAGTTCGCGTGTCACCTCTGACACGTGTGTCATAGGTTCGCCATCACTGTCCTAGGCAGTTCCTCCTCTGATGCAGAAGCCAAGTGTCAAATACATTTGGGGCCCATCAGCGGCAGCTCCCCTCCTGCAGCCCCACCAGGCTGGGCCCGAGGACACCTAGAGCACCTGCAGGCCTGCCTGTGCCGGGCTGCCAGGTCATCACAGAGGTTGTGCATGAAAGGGTCTCCCGGTAACACTCGGCATCAAGCCCCACCCCTGCCCTTGCAGCAGAGTGTCCATAGGACCCCAGGCTCTAGGCCGCCACCGCTGCACTCGCTCCGCCTGCAGCTGGTCCCAAGTCCCAGCTATTCCTGCTAAAGTAAGGAAGGAGTGAGGGGCTATGGTAGCCCAACTTGCTTCTTGTTTCCCCAGGATGCAGGGGTTTCCTTGCCAGCGAGCGGGTTTCCTCTGGGCAGTCAGAGGCCATAGTCAGGGAGGCACCCACATCCTGACTTGGGACCCGTGCTGAGGTTCCCACCCTCTATCCCACAGCCTAGGACTCCGCTCTTCATCCTGTGTCCCCAAGTCAGCACTTGAGGGTCAACCTGAAGTCCCCAGGACCGCCGGCAGGAATGCCACAGGTTGAGTGTGGGGGTAGGGCCCTCCATGAGAGGGCGAGGAGCAGCACGCTCCTCCTTGGAGAGGGCGGGCCTCGGGGGCTGGGACAGGGTGGCAGTGATACCTGACCACCAGGAGAAAGCGCCGCAGGGACCAGGCCAGCCTCACCCCCCTGTCGGAGTATCCGCTCTCCCTGGTGGGAGAAGCGAAAAGCTGAGGCAGCACAGCCCCAGGCAGGATGGACACCTTGACCTCCCACGACTGTGCTCCACCTACAGGTGGCTTTTCTCTTCCTCCCTGGCACAGAGAAGTGCCGCCGGAGCCCTGCACCCCGGCCTGAACCCCAGGGTCTGCTCACGGAGCTCATCATGACTGAAATGCTTACTTGCTGGTGGAGGGGTGGGCCAGAAAAATGGCTGTGAGTGGCCCAGCTCACTCTGGAGCCATAGGGCCTGACCCAGGGAACCGCAGGAGAGGCCCCGTGAGAGCAAGCCCTTCCAGCCGCTAGGGAACAAGGGCTGGGGGCACTTGGACAGCAAAGCGCTCAACCCCAGCTCCTGTCCCCACCAAGATGGGTCGGCCACTGACGAGTCTCAGGCAGTAGTCTCATCAAGGCTGTAGGACCGGCTCACCTCAGCCAGGGACTCACCCGGATGCATAGACAAACCAAGTGTGCCGGACGGACGGGAAGAAATTCCGTCCTGGGAAGAACACCAAGGAAGTGCTGCAGCCAACAGTGCTTCTTGCTTCGAGGGGTCACAGCACCGAGGGCCACACGCTCTCAGCCTGGACCACCCCTGCATGTGCGTCCACAGCTGGCACGAGATTTTCAAATGGGTCCGTGATTTTAAAAGGTCAAGTTCACAGCAGTAATAGAAGAGCATGGGAAGCCAGAGCCAGGCCGCAGCCACCTGAGGGAGGGCGCGCGGCAGGTCGCCTCGTCGGAAAGCACTCGTCCCTCTGCAGGCTGCTCTTTGTGGTGGTGCTTTTAAGGTACGCAAGCAAGGAGGTCATTCTGCTTCCATCTGGCTGAGCACGGGGACAGCGGCCCCAAGGCTGGACCCTGTCCTGTTTGGATTCTGCTTTCCTCTGGCTCTCCAGGGCACAGCTCTGAGAACTCGCAGACTGCAGTGCTACATCCCTTTAGGGTAGATCATCCCATAAAGGAACTTTCTGGAAAGCCAAGGAGGCAGGGAACCTAGCAAAGATGAAGGGGAATCAAATGTCCCGCCTGTGTGTTGGGTCCAGAAACTCAAATGGTGCAGATGGAGCGCAGTGGTGGGGAAGCGGGGCCCATCCCACGCCTGGGCGGCGCTGTGTTGGCCTAAATGTGCAGCAGCGGTCCCCAGGGCCGCAAGGCAGAGCTGCCCACGTGGGATTTTCCTCCCGCCCGTCCCAGTGTAAACATCCCCTCCCGTGCGGAGCTGTGGGGGCTGAGGCCGTGGTGTCGCTTCTCGCACGCCCCCTTCATTCCTGACCTTTGCAGAGGCCCCGGCTGGGAAGAGGGCCTCCTTGGGTGCAGCCGCGGGGAGCCAGTGGAGGGACACTGTTTCCCTGTCTCCCTAGACTGATTTGGTGACATGAAACAGAACACCCTTGGTCTCCTGTGACTTGGCAACTTCTGTGCCTTCTCTGCCTATCTCTACTCGGGGGGACGTCAGCCGAGGCTGTGAGGCTCTGGGAACAGGAGATGCTGAGCCCCCTCAAGCCGACCCGGGGCCTGACCCTGAGCCTGCACAGAAGGTGCAGCAGGAGCAGGCGGCTCTGGGGCCGTTCTCCTGTTAGAGACATGCCTGGCCGGCTTGGGGCTTGGACATCCCAGCTGCGGAGTGGAGCCGCCTGCCAAGCACAGCAGCAGTGTGGCAATCCGGGGCCAGAGGTCAACCCAGAACTGATGTTTACCCCTAAAACCCAGTTTTCCCTGTCCTTCCCCCTGGCCACAGGCCCATTCTTGGTGGGATAAAACTGCTTACATCAGGGCTCTCTGGTCCAAGGTGGAGTATGACCCCAGCTCTAAGAACATGGACAAAAATGGAATGTTCTGATTCAGTTCTGTTCCTTATAAGCCCAGGCTAGTGTGGCCAAAAGCAGAAAGAAGTTCTAGAAAAAACCTAGAAAGCAATCCCTGGGCGTTTTTCCCAATAACAACTGTGACTGTAATATGTGGAGCTCCCGTGAGGACCAGGCGCTGTCTGAGTGCTCCCCACGTGCCAGCTCCTGTACCTCGAAGTGAGCTAGCTCAGACCTCGCTGAGAGAGACCACCGCTCCTGGCGCTGCGGCAGGCAGGGGTGCTGACCCAGGGCCTAGCCTGAGGGCCTGCTCTCTTCACCCCACACTCAGCACAGGAGCCCCCGTGAGCCCCAGCCTTGCCCAGCACTGGACTCTTCCACCACCCGAGGGAGGAGCCAAGCAGTGGTAGCCAGGCCGGCGGTCTCCTGTGGGTATGGGGTCACGATACCCCTCAATCTGACAGTTCTTGGAGGTGGCCCTCTTCGCAGTGACTTCAGGACTCCATTCTGGCCTCAGGTGACCTCTTGCGCTTCTTCCTCCATCTCTTGCAGCCACACCAGACGGGGTCCCAGCCCCCAAGGGCCTTACAAGCCCTTCTTCCCACACGCTGTGTTCAGGCGCTGGGGTTGGGAAGACCTAGGTTCACAGTCCGTCTGTGCCCTACCTGCCCTGCGACCTGGGGCAAGTGTCCTGCCTCAGTGCCACCTCGCCTCCTCCATTACTTGGGCGATGGGTGGTTGGCGGCTCTTGCATGGAAGACGCTAAGATACATGTGAGTGCCACCTCTGCTTCGGTCCTTATTATGGGAGCTCAGGTGCTTTCCTCTGTGGGGCTTTCAGGAGAACCGGGGCCAGACCCCTCCCGCCTCTGCCCTCCCACCCGTCGCTCTGTGCATGGGTGCTGTGGGCCGCATCTGTTTCCCTCCTGGCCATGGCCTCTTAGACCCTGGTTTCTCAAGGTGCAGGCTGTGCAGCCTCGGCGTCGCCTGGAAGGGCACACTTGGGCCCACCCTAGACTCAGAATCGCATTTTATCAGGATCACAGGTGCCTTGTGTGCCCCCCACAGTTAGAGAAGCGCCAGCTCAGCCTGCAGGGGTCTGTGGCACTCACCTGTGAACCCCGCATCAGAGCCGTTATAACGGGGGCACCAGAGCTGGGTCTGAGGCTCACCTAGCACCGCTGCCCAGGCCTTTACTGGCCAGCAGATGGAGAGCCCGGCCCCCTCCTACCCAGGCCCATTGCTGTTGACAGTCTGAGGGCCCTTCCCCCTTCCCTCTCTCCAGCACCGCCCGTGGCCCCAGCTGCTTGCTCCGACAGCCCTGCAGCTTTCCCCTGGTGCAGCCCTCTCCACTGCCATATCGGCTTCTGGTTCCTCTCGGACCCCGCTGGGGCCCATTAGCTTATCTCTCGCTCTGAACCAGGCAGCTGGAAACCTCCTGGATTTGGGTGGTTGCCCGGGGCAGAAGGCTCCCTGACCTCAG